TGTGTGTGTGTGTGTTAGTTGCTGCAAGTTCAAGGTGGGGATTTGTGGGAAAACTGAGCAGAAAGGAAGTTTCAAGTCTCTGTATTTATGATGACAAACCAAAAATAAAATAAAAAATACAATTATTCTAAATTTTATAAATATTACTATACTGTATATCTGCCTGAAGGTCTGGGTTGGAAAACGGAGAAGGAAAGGAAGTTTCAAGTCTCTGTATTGGTGATAAGGGGAATTGTAGCAGACATTAAATGACATGACATAAAATTAAAAAAATCATTCATTCATTCATTCATTCATTCATTCATAGACTAACCCAACTTTTGGGTTAAAAATGTAATTAAAAAAATTTAACCCAACGGTTGGGTTAGTTAGTCCATATTTGACCCAAAGATGGGTTGAAACAACCCAGCATTTTTTAGAGTGCGTATATAAACACATGCCAACACGCATACTTTTATTATGCAATAGTATTCCATTCTAAAGCTAAAATCAGCTGTTTTAATTTAAAAAAAGCTGTTATAAAATAAATTATATAGTTGTATTAGATTGAATAGTTAGATTCTTGCTTTGTCAGTCAACTGAAATTAAAATAATTTTAAGTTGAAGTACTGAAATTACTAAAACTGAAATAAAAAAAATAAAGCTTAATAAAAAAATATATATAAAAAAAAAATACAAAATCACATAAAATTAAAGCTTAAATTAAAATCGAAATGAAAACTGAAAATATGGAAGGTTAATCAAAATAATAATAAATAATGTGATAGTATATAAATTACACTGTTCTCAACACAATTTTGCTACATCTAATTATTTCATATATCTCTGTATTTCAATGTTGTGTGCACGTTACAACCGTGTTGTGGCTTGTCTGACTAAATCTTTCCCATCATCCTGTCAGAAATATATTATTATTTTTTGGGATGTATTCATTCATTCATAAATATTACTATATTATCTGTTTGAAGATCAGTGATGAGTTGATGAGAATTGGTGGCAGAGAAATGAAATGAAATGAAATATAATAATAAATATTACTATAATATAAATGCAAAATATAAAAACAAATCTAATATGTATATTGTAGTATATATTACTGTAAAATTAAATACAAACTAGTGGTGGAATAAGGGTTGAAGTCTAACTGTCCTTGGATCCCATAGTCATAGGTCTGCCCCCTAGTGTTGGCATAATGACAGAGCATGGTAATAACATACCACTATTTTAACAATATTTATATAATTCCTATGCAGTATTTATTGTACTGAATAATAACCATATTGCTAAACCATGTTTGTTTATATGTTTATATATATATATATATATATATATATATATACACACACTCTAAAAAATGCATATATTATTATTTTTTGGGATGTTCTAGTAATACTAGAGGAACTCGAGCCTCAGTCTTGAATAATAAATATTCTTTCTCTTTTTCTCTCCTCAGAGCTCAACATGGAGTACAATCCTGCGGACCACCCGCGTGCCAGCACCATATTTCTCAGCAAGTCTCAAACAGACGGTGAGAGACTCCATGTCTTCTGACTCGCAGGATGAGTGGGACGGTCTCCCCTTAAGCCTGGATGCTGGAGGGGAACGTTAATTAAAACAAAACCACGGTCAGGATGGCTTCAGTCTGATCCAAACGAATCAGGAGGCGAATGCACAGATGCCCTGACTTAGTCAGACCAAACATTCCCTCTTCAGAGAAGACTTGTAATTATAGTTTGATTTAACACGATACCCCTGGGTGATGATACTTTATTATCTGTCAGCTCTTCTCCGTGGGTGATATTTCTACCCAGGCTAATCTTATGATATTCGCCTTGTTTCTCAGTGAATTGTTAGCGTAACGTTTTGTGACTCTGGTCTGTCAGACGTCTCGTGGTTCTTGTGACATTATAATGGGAAAATGCAGTGATACAAACAAAATTAGTGGCGTATGAACTGTAAAGTCAAGGATAAGTAAATGCCAGCCTTGTTATCCATGCTCCGATTTAACTTAGAAACCTTTTTGTTTTTCAGTTCTTTTACCCAACAAGAAAAGTACGTTTGATCTCAGCCTGTTTGTTAGTGTGCTGCTGTGTCGTGTCGAAGCTTTATAGATTCAAAATGTCTGTAGTTTGATTTTATGCTGCAAGCTGTTATTTGTTCAGGAAACTTCTTCGAAGCGTTAGCTTGCTAAGCTACAAGCTGCTCCATTTAACTGCACTGAAGCTATGCTAAAAGCTAACAAAAAGTAGCTAACTACTGTACATTGAAGCTGCTTAATGGGGCAACAGATTAATATCATTAAATACAATCACAGTAGTATTTTCAGACATTTACAGTCAGTTGAATGCCATTAAGGGGATATGCATGTTGACAATGTCTGTGAATCTGTCCCATTTGTCTGTCTGTGCAGCTGTTTGTTTAGATTCATGTATGCTGTGCTGTCATCTGTTGGTCTCTAGTGCTGTAGTTTAGATTAATAGTTATAATATGGATGGAAATAGTCAGACTGCTAATATGTGAGTCATGAGACATACAGTAGGGTTTGAGTGCATGAGGGCCGTCAGACTCCAGGGACTGCGATAAAATGTCTATCCCACAGAACCACACACACAACACCTCTTCATTTTCACCTGCAGTCTCAGTTTATTTTCTGGGTCAGGGTTTTATCACATTGCCTGTCAGTCAAAGTAACTGGCCCCGCCCACAGATACAATAGTGGTAGTTAAATAAGAAATGTAGTTTAGTCATTGTGGTAAGGTGAATCATTTGGGTGCTAATGGAAATTATCTCAGAGGTCTCTTTTGTTGCATTCAAGTAATTAAACAAACTACAAGACGCCAAAACAACATCAAAGATAACTCTCCATACCATCAGGGGGCAGTAGTGTGTCTTCGTCATTTAAAATGAGAAACCTAAAGGGCTAGGATTGCAGATAAACAAACAGTTTTTTTGAGAGAACAACAAAAAAAACATTCTGTTTGTTGAGAGAACAACAACAAACTACTGTAAATGCAACAACAATAGATCCCTATGTGCATGACATGAGAGATAAAAACTATACATTTCATGGCCATTCTCATTCTCCCCTCATTTTAGTTCAATCATAGCCGTGATTTAAGAATGAATTCCCTTGTTTTAGTAAATCATGGACACATTGTACTAATTCGTTCCCTTTCGTTCTCTTAATTCATGGCCGCAATTTAACAAAAACTTGGGAACAAATTAATAAAATGAGGGGATGAATTCTTAATTCATGGTAACGAATTCTTAATTCGGGCCCAAGATGAATATATTTTTGGATATACACAACTCTAGCTTAAAACACATATAAATAAATGTTTATTGTTTCTAACTTCTGGAGAGAAATAGCACAGACATTATACAAAAATAAAACATTCTAGTAGGGTTGTGACGGTGAGGAAATTTTCCCACCGGTTAATCGACGTGTGACAACACCGGTAATACCGGTATCACTGTTTGTCAGTCAACTCGACTCACTCTCACTCACACTGGATAAATTAAATCTGATCTGTGATGCGACTGTCGTTCGGCACGCTGCATTGAGTAGCTGCGTTCAGTTTTTAATTGTAGTGTCTGTTCTTTTACAGAACTAAATGATTTTTATTACTATAAAAAAATCTAAACGATGGTGGGGGTCGGTGACGCGGTGGGCAAGTGACGTAACCAGTGTTGCGGCTTAACACCGGTATCACCGTCTATCGCGGCAAGCCTACATTCTAGTGCACGTGTCAAGCGCCTGTGTTCATGAAAATAAAATAATGTACTATTAAAGACTGTGTTCATTTGATGCTGATCGTTTGCGTCAAAACTAGGGCTGGGAAAATAAATTGATGCATCACAAATCGAGAAATGATTCTGCATCGATTCTGAGATTTTCCGAATGCATCGCGATTCTTTCTCCAGTCGATTCTGAGCTTAGTTTTGAACAGCAGATGGTGCTGCATGCTTTAGAAACAGCCGTACTCTGCTTGTTTCCAAATCCTTACACACACTTGAACCAAAAATAATCATTCATAAAATTCGAAAAGTTTGAAGAGAATTACAAGGGTGTTCACAGTGGGCTGTGTTTAGCGTCATAAAAGCATTCTGAGCCGAGGTGAAATTACATGACTCAGCCGAACGCACAAGTGCTCTTCAGCGCTCTTCTTCATGAGTGTGTGCATAAAAAGTAGATTAGAACGCCATCTGCTGTTAAAATCTACGCTCAGAATCGATTCCAGAGAGAATCGTGATGCATTTGGAAGATCTCAGAAACAATCCACGAATTGATTCTGCATCGATTTACCGTCGCAGCCCTAGTCAAAACGGAAGAATACTTTGGGCAGTTCTTGACTAAAGTAATCTCCAAAGTGGACCAGACTTTATGCTAACATTCAGAAGTTTCTCTATGAGAGATTAACCAGTTTTTAAAAGAAATTGTGAGAGAAACATTAGAGAAAGTTTAATTCCAGCACATTTTCTCTGGCACCAAACTGTTAATGAAATAGCGTCCAACAGTTTAAGACCTCAGATTGTTATATACTTACCTCTTTATATTACTGACATCGCTTTAATTGTCGCCCTTGTCTTTTTGTCTAATTAATTGTACTGGCTGTTGTGCTAGTGTTACTAATTATGCGTTTCTCTTTACAGTCCGGGAAAAACGGAAAAGTCTGTATGTCAACCATGTAAGTAGCAGCAGCCATGTCATCAATTGATTGTGTTTTCTGTTTCTCATAATGCTTGTGTCTGCAATAAAGACATCTCTTCACGTGACACAACACCCACAGAACTAATCAAATCCCACACTCAACCACATGAGAATGCAGGAACCAGTATTGCATGAGTCTCTGGGCTTGTGTTGCATCAGTAACAGCATTGCTTTTCTGATCAACTCTTTCCTTCTATATAAATGTTTTAAAGGAATAATTCACCCTCCTTTGCTGAACATTTACCCTGAGGTCAACCAAGATGCTGATGAGTTTATTTCGTCAGAACAGTTTTAGAGAAAGCATTACATCACTTGCTCAGCAATGGATCCTGTGCAGTGAATGGGTGCCGTCAGAATGAGAGATGATAAACATATCACAAAAATCCCCAAGTAATCCACATAAAGCCAGTCCATCAACTAATGTCTTGTGAAAAGCTGCATGTTTGTACAAAACAAATCCATAATTAAAGTTTTTTTTTGTTTGTTTTTTAATTTCAGACTATTGCTTTCAGTTAAATTCCATAGTCCATAATCCATAATATTGCTTTATTCAGTAAAAAAAAAAAAGTCTGAATCAGGAGAGAAATATGCACAGATCAAGCACTCTTTACAAGCAAAAACAGTCCAAAAACTGAAGTGAAAGGGTCAACAGGGGATGGACTTTGTCACTGGAAGAAGCGCTATTATGGATAATGGACTGGTATTTTGGCCAGAAGTGATGGTTTGAAGTTATGATGGATTGGTTTCTTACAATCATGCAGCTTTTCGCTTCACAAGACATTAATTGATGGACTGGAGTGGTGTGGATTATTGTGATGTTTTTATCAGCTGTTTGGACTCTCATTCTGACGGCACCCATTCACTGCAGAGGATCCATTGTTGAGCAAGTGATGTAATGCTACATTTCTCCAAACGTGTTCCGAAAAAAAAAAACGGGTACATTTTCAGCAAATTGTTATTTTTTGGGTGAACCGTTCCTTTAATATGCATAACTTGATTTTTTTTCTTTTTCCATTTCATTGGTGCATGCTATTCATACTCAAAATGCAATGAATAGCTGATGTTTTGTTCCTGTTTTAATGTCTTTTATTACTTTGCAAGTTAACACACATTGCGGAGTCAAAGGTAAATATTTGCCCATTGCTGTATTTATTTGCTTTAAACTTATGATATCGTGTCTATTTTGACATTGTAATGATTTATTTGCATTATTAATGTTGCTTATCAGTTTGAAATCCTGCATAATACAATGACAGTGTTTATGTTGTACTGGATTGGGATTCTAACCCACACTAACGTGTACACACACAGAGAAACACTCAGGTATAAATGAGATGATAATGACTTCTCTGGGGCTGCAGGTGGCCTAATTCTCAGCCCGTTTGCTGAAAGTCTGTGTGTGTTTAATAATAACTGATATTTTATTTTGCACTCTGCGTGTCCTTGTGTTTCAGCAACATCCGTCTGGTCCAATGAGACGCAAGTACAGCTCCTGTTCGACAATCTTCCTGGACGACAGCACCGTCAGCCAACCCAACCTCAAATACACCATTAAATGGTACTTGAACCCTCAGCGTAAACTGATCGAAATGTGCATGATTGGTTTATGACGGATATCTAAATGAGGGTGTGGAAAGAGAATTTTGTTTTCAAAAGCATGGCTGGAGCCTTTGGAAATTGGGCCTAGCAACTTGTTACATTGTATCATTGATAAATAATAACCACTTGTACAATGAGTGAATGAGTCACGTGAACGGATTCAGTGTGGAAGTGAGTCGTCTAAATCATTAAGTCTATGATTTAAAAAAGTGACTCCTGTTTTTGATTCTGAATAATTTGCCAGTCAGTTCCACTGATCACATTCATCACAACACTTTATGAATTTAGGTATGTTGTTAGATAGTAAGCCAATAACTATTTTCATTTTATGGCCAATAACCAATAAATGGTCAATATAAAAATGCTATACAGTACTAATTGAATAAATACAATCTATATAATAATAATCACCATCATCGAACTAAAATGTTAAATCAGTGATTAGATGTCATCACATTACAGTACAGTATGATAAATTTGCTAAAGTTTTAACAATGTTAATAAATTATTAGTGTTGTTAAAGATGAGTGACGCATTAGATGACTGCAAAGGTCATTTTAATGTAAAAAATGAGCATGCATAATCACATATCCAATATTGGCCAATGTACTGTATATACAAAACGAACCAGAAAATATTGTGATAACTGATATGGTACAACATATGGATTTACAAAGAAATTTGTTCTTTGTAAATGAGGCCCCTTGTGGCATTAAATTCTGTGTTAATTTATACTGGAATAGTTTTGTGAATGATTTACAAAAATCCACCATTTTTTGCCCGTTTCATCATACATACTGTACAGGGTTTGAAATTAACTTTTTCACTCACCAGCCAATTTGGCTACTAAATTTTTAACTGTAGTATGTTTTTTGATTCCATATAATTCACTGATCTACAGATTAATAAAAAAGAACAGCATATTCTTAAAGGGTTAGTTCACTCAAAAATAACAATTATGTAATTAATTACTCACCCGCATGTTGTTCCAAACCCGTAAGACCTTCGTTCATCTTCAGAACACAATTTAAGATATTTTTGACTAAATCTGAGGGCTCTCTGACCCTCCCATAGACAGCAAGGTAACTACCACGTTCAAGGTCCAGAAAAGTACCAAGATGATCGACAAAGTAGTCACTACTGCGTCACTTTGGACACGCGTTCACGACAGTACCATGACGCGAGCGTGCTGGGTCAGCGCCGCCACACGCTCGCGTCATGATACTGTCGTGAATGCGCGTCCAAAGTGACGCAGTAGAGACGAAATTGTGGAATAAAGTCATTATTTTTGTTTTCTTTCCGCAAAAAAAAGTATTCTCGTAGCTTCGTAACTTTACAGTTGAACCACTGATGTCACACAGACTACTTTGTCGATCATCTTGGTACTTTTCTGGACCTTGAACGTGGTAGTTACCTTGCTGTCTATGGGAGGGTCAGAGAGCCCTCATATTTCATCTAAAATATCTTAAATTGTGTTCTGAAGATGAACGAAGGTCTTATGGGTTTCGAAACACCACGAGGGTGAGTAATTAATGACAGAATTTTCATTTTTGGGTGAACTAACCCTTTAAATGCTCATTGTACATTTAGTGAGGACAACGCAAAAGCGATGCAATACAAAGGATAATGCTATATACTACTTCCCCTTGTGCTTGAATTTAATGCTGCTTCATCTTGTTGACTACCGTTATATCAATTTATTTCTGCTATTTCTTCTGTTTGCAGTGTTGCCCTCGCAATATACTACCACATAAAGAACAGGTATGTTGTTCAATTCTCTCATCAGATCAGGTGTTCTTTCTATCTATCTATCTATCTATCTATCTATCTATCTATCTATCTATCTATCTATCTATCGGCTGTCTGTCTGTCTGTCTTATCTATATATCTTATCTATCTATCTGTCGTATCTATCTTGTCTATCTTGTCTGTCTGTCTAAATACTTTTATATCCGTCTTTTTTCTGTCTCTGGCTTTGTGTCTTTTTTTTTTCTCTTAAAGCTGTAATACCATATAAACCCTTAATGCTTTGTAACCTTCAAACTCTAAGGCTTCAGAGCTGTTTAAATATAACTTTTACACAAGCTATTAGTAACACTGAAAATGTATCACAATACTCTTTCCTAGTTCTTTAATTCTTTATATGAATACAGCTTAGAATAAGTACCAGTCTTCCCTAATCTAATTTCAGTTCACCCTTCTCCTTTCAGAAATGTGGACGGACTGATGCTGTTAGACATTTTTGATGAAAAACTTCATCCACTTTCAGTAAGTTTTTCATTTCTGCAGCTCATTTCTAAGATGTTTAATTACATCCTGAACAAGCCAGAATGTTCTAAAACTTCCTCTTTCCACAGAAATTGGAGATGCCGTCAGACTATGACAAGCACGACCCAGAACAGAAACAGATCTACAAATTCGTCCGTACACTCTTCAGTGCCGCCCAGCTCACGGCTGAGTGTGCCATAGTTACTCTGGTGAGTGAAAGGTCATGTGACTTGATCGCGGACCAATAAAAATTAATCCGTGTCTATTTGGATTGGCTGATAGCACAAGTTAAAATAGGGTTTACCATCAGTGAAGTGGATTTACCATCACTCAGGTGAAAATGGTTGTCATATTTAGTGCTTTATTAGTGGGTGCTAAGCCCAGCAGCTGTGTGAGTGTGACTGTTCCTCCTCTATGATTAAATCCTTCTTTTGAAGGCCCAACCCTTCTCACTTTTCCAACCAAATACCTTCATGAGGTGTCATTAAACAAGTTCTAGACATACAAGGGGCTGTGAATGCTTGAGATGGGCTTAAGGGAAAGTGTGTGTGTGTGTGTGTGTGTGTGTGTGTGTGTGTGTGTGTGTGTGTGTGTGTGTGTGTGTGTGTGTGTGCTTTTTTGTGACATATGAGGACACAAATTTGTATAATGACATGGGTATGACATAGGTATTACAAGGAGAAGGTGACTTATGAGGACATTACCCCATGTCCCCATTTTTCAAAAATGTTGGTGTAGAGCAATAGCACATACAGTGTGTGTGTTTAAAAGAGTTATAATCTATACTGATGGTCCAATGGAAGTGTAATCTCTACCTCAGGTAGAGAAAAAAAAATGGTGAGTGTCCTCAAAATTGTTAACTGCAATCTAATCAGTTTATTACCTCTAGATGACTGGAAGATCTGACCACAAAATCAACATAAATATCCCTATGATTACTTCACTATTATTATATGTAAAACCTTTATCATAAATTGTTGCATTATTATTATTATTATTATTATTATTGTAGTACCAATGATTTCAGATGTACTCACACCTAAACACATTAAACATAAAATGCTAACTGTGGTAAATTACTTCACATATCAGTCAGACAGTCTATTCCTAGATGATTCATGGCCAGAAAAACTGCAAAGTGGACCAGACTTAATACCTATAGTCAAAAGTCTGAAACTAATAAAAACTGAGTGCAGCTTCAACATAGATATTTTTTGGAGATCAGAATCTTTCTGTCTATGAACTGATAGAATTCTCAGATAGACAGATTGTGTGCGTTTCTTTGTTTCTAAGTATAGATTGAGACAGATCGAGCCTGTTCCTTGACCTGTAGGGGGCAACAGGTGCAGAGATGTTGGTAAAATCTGATTGGCTGTTGCTGGTGCTAACACTTTTTAATTAAAGCGAAATATTTTTTATTACTTGAAATAAAAATAAAATATGCATTATACATAAAAATTTTAATAATGTTACCTTGGCAACAAACTAAAATAAAATAAATTTAAGCTAAAGTACTGCAATTACTAAAACTGAAATGAAGCTAACCAGAAATATATATTTAAAAATATATATTAATAATAAAAATGACAAACGCACACACAAAGAAAAACTGAAAATATTCCAAATGTTAATAAATACTATAATAGTATATACCGTATTGGCCCGAATATAAGACGACCCTGATTATAAGATGACCCCCCTTTTCCAGATGTACCTTTTGGAAAAAGGCTTTTTAAAAACCAAATCTTGTTTTTTCTCAGTAAAACACATTTTGTCTTCAATTATTTTGTTTTAAAATCACAAAGGGAGTTTGGTCCCATCAGGCTAACGTGACAGTCACGACTCATGCAGCTGTAAGGTTTTCTTTTTCTTTTGTTTTTACTCGCGATCTTTACAACACACATTGCATTACGTATTTCATGGCACACTCGTTTTATGCGTATTTGGCGCCGCCTATTGTTGTGGGAGTATTATTGACATGTCAAAGTCTAGACCCTGATAATAAGACGACCGCGTTTTTTCAGATGTATTTCCAAGAAAAAAACATTCTTATATTCGGGTCAATACGGTAATTAATACTTAAATGACACTACAGGAAACACTGCTTTATGGTAATTTGCCCTCTTAAAATGTTTATTATGACTCAACTGAATAAAAACTGAATTATGTTTTCAAAGCTCTACCCAGGTTAGTGTTTTCTATGAAGGTGCTGACCGCTGTCCCTGGAGTGTTTCCTTAGGTTGTTGTTTTATAAATTGTAGGTGTGTAATTTGCCCATTTGCTGACACTAGTTCATCTTGAACAGCGTAGAGGAGATTAGCTCAGAAAAACACAAGCATACTCTCATAAGCACATATTTAATGCACAACTGCCCACGGGAGGAGCCCGTCGATGCAGTGGAACCAATTAAACGTGCGATTTATGTCTTACACGTTCTACAAACAAAATTGAGCTCTTATTAGATTTCTTTCTCACTGTGGGAAAACTTATATTATTTGACATTGTTGTCCTCTATTGAGTGTGTATGTGCGTTTGTGCTGCTTAGTGCTTCTACGTCTCTTTTGCATTGCATACATTATTAGTTTTTCATTCCATGAGGACATCTTTGTTCGCCTACATCCATCAGCAGTGTTTATGAATGCTAAAGACGCCCGTGGCTACAGCATACTGTCATACACCACGTCAACAGAGAACAGACTTACGATTCAACCACTCAAGAATTAATGTTTATAACGTTCCTTTAGAAGTACACAAAGAAGTATTATTAGAGTTACTTAGGAAACCATCACTATTGCTAGTGATCATATTTATTATTTGCCACTAAACATAGCAATAGCCTTTGACATTTTATTTGTCCAACAGACAGGTAGATTATCTTGAATCATGTGGCATGTTAAAAAGAGGTGTGCTGTTTTTTGCTTTCAACAGACTTCAAGTGGATAAAACAGAAATGAGGGCTCAGGCATCTACCTGTTCTCCTTCAAAATTCCTGTGGTGTTGAACAGTATGTTTCAACGTTGTACAGTCTCATAACAGATAACTTTTAAACAGACATGGAAAATGTATGAGTGCCTCAGGAAGCAGTTTGATCAGAATCCATTTTTCTCTCATCTGTATGGTATAAAATTGCAATGCCTAAATGTTTAGAGAAACAATGTATCCGTGTGATTTAGGAGTCAATGGTACAGTTCATTTTTGATAATTTAGTGTGTATTTCTGCCGCCTTTTTCAAAAATCATGAAATATAGCAAAATTCCAGAGCTTCCTATCTTTAAGATTTGCCAAAATCGCTTAATGAGGGAATCGTATTATTTTCAAGTACTGAAATATTTACCATAGTACTGAATGGTCATTTTAAGTATAATCAAATCAGTGCTTCCACATGCATTTGTATAGCGCTTTTCACAATATAGATGGTTTCAAAACAGCTTTACAGAAAATGCATGTTGCAATATTACAATATTGTTTGGATTCTTATGAACAGGAATCTTACATTTAATCTCATTGAGGCCCAGTGAGCAGTCCAGGTGACCGTGTCAAGGTGGTGAGGTGTTGGAGAAAAAATCAGACCAGAAAAGAGAACCAGACTCACCTAATCCAATTTTTTGTTCATATTTCCAAGGGGCAGCATATACAGTATATTGAAAACAGCAGGGGGCTTAACACAGATCCGTGTGGCACCCCATACTTACCAATGTTAGATTTGCTAGTTCCACATTTAAACAAACAAATTGGTAATGGTCAATTCTAAACCAGCTTAAGGCAAAGCAATTTTCTAATCAATGTAAGAGTATGTCGTGATCTATAGTTTCAAAAGCAGCACTAAGATCTAGTAAAACTGGAGTGAAATGCAGTCTTGGTCATATACCAGAAGCAAGTCATTTGTAATTCTAAATGCAGTCTCTGTTCTATGATGGGCCCTGAAACCTGACTGAAATGCTTCGTAAACTTTATATTTACATTGCACTCCAATGTTTTTTAAAGGATTCATGGTACATGTCAGAAATAAAAAATCACTTTTCTATTAGTGTCGTTAAAACTGAATGGTGTTCGTTTATTACCAGTGAGGCATCAGGTGTTTTTGCTGGTTGGCTGAGCAGATGTGTTTGTCTCCCGTCATTCATGCCCCCTGACCTGCGTGTCAGTCTTGCACAATAATCGCATATTTGCAGTGATGCTGCAGTAACCTTGCTCCAAAAACAGAAATGCAAGGGTCAGTCACCAGAATCTTTACAGTTGACTTGATTGTCAAGATGCTTTATATCGATATTGAACGACACCCATTAGACAAATCTTATTTATGTTCAACTTATGATAAAACAAATTTATGCATTTTCTCTCTCTCTCTCAGGTGTATCTGGAGAGATTATTAACATATGCAGAGATTGACATCTGTCCTGCTAACTGGAAGAGGATTGTTTTGGGTGCCATCCTGTTGGCGTCAAAAGTGTGGGATGATCAGGCCGTATGGAATGTTGACTACTGCCAGATCCTCAAAGACATCACCGTGGAAGACATGTAAGTGTGTGTCTCTTGCACCTCCAAATTCAAGATAACATGACAACACTCTGAGGTGCAAGTAATTTAATATGTAGGAAAAAATAGCTACAACGGCGTTGTCGGTTTCAACAACTTCCATTTGTATTATTGATAATTTGCACCAGTTTCCCAGGAAGCAACAAGTATCTTGAACACCATTCTCATGAACACGTGATGAAAACAGTGCTTTACTTGCAAATGTTTTATGCAATATTCAAATTTTTCATACAAGTTAAATTTGCAACTGTGAATGGAAACATTAGCTTCGATGCTCAGTCTTCAAACATTTCTAAGATATATGCTGACTTGAAGTTAATGTAAAACTCTATTCACAACTCATTTTTCTTTTATGATAAAATGGATTTCTGAATGAATCAGGATAATCACTAACAAATAAGGAACATGTTTTAATTTAATTTAATTGTATGTAGGGTCTGTTTTAATTTTATGTTGAACAGAGGTTAGTGCCCTCCACAAATCAAGAATTGTGCTATTACTTTAACCATTGTTGGCTTTTCTAAGGTTCTAAGCATTTGTAGAATGGTATTTATGATGTTTTTGTGACATTTTTTGGAGACTATATCCTATAGAGCTTAAGGTATCATATATAATATCCCTAAATGTAAGGTACCAAGAAATTGAGCTGACAAATATAAAGAGTGATACTTGACACTTCCAGCATGTCACATCTGCCCTTTCAACAGTTATTTTAAAGGCCATCCTGACTAAAGATTCAGTGACAGAGGCAGTATTATTGTTCTCAAAGCACACCGCAAACAGCATGGAGGACCACAGAGTGTGGGTTTGTGGTTGTTGGTTGCTTTTTTGTTGTCAGAGGCTTCACTGTTATATTTAGCTGGTGGGTTTCTGCATGTGTTGGAATAATTATGCAGTTCGTAGGAGGGGGTGACAATAGATTGTTTATTTTGAACTTTCAGAAGTTTCATTGGTGGTAAGAAGTTTGTGGATAAATAAAGGAAGATTTTTAATATGAACAGATGATCAGGGCTTGTCGTTTGGTTTTCTTGTCAGGATTGTAGTTTTAAACATGCTAAATCAGAATTTCTTTGAATAGCTTAACTGTCAAGATTTTCTTTTCAGTTATTTCCGCCCACTGACAAATGTCAAAAGGAACATGCACAAAGCTAATTATTTTTGCTTTCTCTCTCCCACCAGGAATGAGTTGGAGCGACAGTTTCTGGAGCTGCTGCAGTTCAATATTAACGTTCCATCTAGCGTGTATGCCAAGTACTATTTTGACTTGCGTTCACTTTCTGAGGCGAACAACCTCAGCTTTCCCCTGGAGCCTCTCAGCAGAGACAAGGCCCAGAAGCTTGAGGTGAGTGGTCAATACTACTCTAGATTATTAGCACACATTATATAGCTCAAGATATTTATCTCAGATTGTCACTCAAGATCTCATTCACATCTCAGTGTGCTGTGGTTTCTAGGTTTTCATGAAAAGTCCAATATCTTGGCAGATTGCAGTACTGCATTTGTTGTTCCAGCAAGTTATAAGGAATATGGAAGTAAAACTTGAAAGCTTGATTTGGTACAGCTCTCACTAAGAAGGAATATCGTGACATGTTGTATTGGTCCATTGGTTCAGTAGCAGCAGGGCTGAGTAATTACCATGCCTGAATCCCCATGTGTGTCTTATGCCAGCATTCAGCCTCGATGCTGCCCAATTACAGTCCTGACAAGACCAGGCCTATAATGATGTTAGTTAGTTCAGTTGTATTTGTGTGTGTGTGTGTGTGTGTGTGTGTGTGTGTGTGTGTGTGTGTGTGTGCACAGTTGCCTTTGGTGGTGTAATAGCTCACCAGCCCATTTAGAGTCAGTGGCCTGTGGGTGGACAGCTCAATCAATCAGTGGTTTATGATCCAGTTCTTTCATAAGGACCAGCCCCCTGCTTCCATCTTGCACTGGTCCTCTTTATACTCTTCCACACACAATCATCTGTCATCTCAAAATAATGGACACAAGTTGTATCTTGTCTCAGGAATGAAACTTTTTATCACTTATTTTTGGAGGTGGTGGGACTTGGAAATTTGGTTCTTGCATCAGAAAGTACAAGTTTAACCAATACTCTTTCTGTGACACTTTCAGTTGTATCAAATGTGAATCTAGCTAATTCTGTATCTACTCAATGACATTGTCAACTCTTATAAATCAGCAGATGACTTATGAGTTAATAATATAAGTTTAATAATAATAATAATGTAGAAAAAGAAAAGGGCCAAGAACAGAACCCTGGGGAACACCTTAAGTAAGGGGAGCATGTGTGTTGGAGCAGGGTTGGAACAAAACTCTGCAGGGCTCCGGCCCTCCAGGAATTGAGTTTGACTCCCCTGATATAGAGTATTAAAATGAATATTATAAGTAATATTATTGGGGGGGATTCATAGGCTGAAATATGCTACTTACTGATACTAACATGTTTTAGATTTAAACATATTTAGCAAGGGTGCATTACATTGAACTTGTAAAAAAAAGTAGTATCACGGTTTCACATTCATAGTTTTCAACATAGATAATAATAAGTTAATGGTCATAGAAAATAATCATAGGTAATAATAAGAAGAAATGTTTCTCGAGCAGCATATATATTAACATATATTAGAATGATTTCTGAAGGATCATGTGACACTGAAGACTGATGTGTAATGATGCTGAAAATTCAGCATTCCATCACAGGAATAAATTAATTTTAAAATGAATTAAAAATAGAAAACATTTTTTTTTTTTATTATAATAGTATTTCACAATATAACTGTTTTTAGTGTATAAATGCAGCCTTGGTAAGCATACGAGACTTCTTTCAAAAACGTTAAAAATCTTACCAATCCCAAACTTTTTGAATGATAGTGCAGTGGTAGTCTAAAAAAAAAATCACACTATTTCAATGCCTGTCTCCCCTTCTCATGTTTCTCACAGGCGATCTCCAGGCTTTGTGACGACAAATATAAAGACTTGAGAAAAGCAGCCAAGAAGCGCTCAGTGAGCGCAGATAACCTGAAAGTGGTCAGATGGTCGCCGGCCATCATATCCTAATAATGGTGGACATTGGGGACTTTCACGAGAGACTGAGGGAAAGAGACTGTCAGAAGAAGCGTTCTCTAAGAGGACATATGTGCTTAGTACCTCCACAAGACTCTTGAGCCAGAGTGTGTCAGAAGAGAGTTCTTGCTGGTCGTACGGCTGCTGTATATACAAGACACCCACACAAAGATCACTTTCCAACCTGTGGCTTAGAGGAAAGAGAGGAAGACACTGCTACTGCAGTTCAGAAAAACTGGAGGACGCAAATGAAAGGATATAAACGAGGGAGAAAGACACCCAATGACTGGAACAGCATTCCAACAGCTCTGTGTCTTACATGTATGCCATTCTAGGTGAGGAAGTATTCGTACTGTGTTTATTGATCTTGTATGGTTAGAAAAAATTCCACCTGGACGCTCAAGGATGTGTTGTATCAAGATCAAGAGCCAAAATCAACTATATTCCCTAGATATTCCTCCATTCCTTAAAGTATCTCTCTCCAAATGGCTGTGAGCTGATTAAACTATAAAATTACCACTGTTCTTACAAACTGTTATTTAATATTTTAGCTCATTAAGATTTATTTTAAATTTAAAGAAATTCTTAATGATGGTTTATTGATCTAAAATTAGTCTAACAATGCAAATGAATGGGAAAATATACAATTTGGACCTCTCTGTTAAGTCGGATTATTTTATTGTGTAGTTTTTTTTTTGTTTTGTTTGTTTTTTTCCCCCCCAATTTTTAATATTCGATAAAGGCAGTTTGCACCATTTAGTCTTATTACCTAAGAGTAATGGAAGTTGACTTTGTATTTCCAAAATGAATGTGGTATGGAGGGTTTCCATATGAAGTCCCTGGGACTTTCCCTTTGAAACACAATATTAGATAAGCCTTGAAAGAGTTAGTTTCAACTGAAAATGTACAATGCCGAAATGGACTGAAATTGGAAGTTTTAATAATGAAATCAGAGGTTTTTCTTCTGCAGAGCCAACAATGACAGTCCATCACCAATGACCATGAATGTGTATAACCTCCATATTCTTGTCACCATTTTCAACCTCAACAAATGCCAGATATACACATGCTGTGTCACTCATTTCCAATTCTCAAAGCAATACACTGTGCTCTATTCCATACAATACTTGCTGGGAAAATTGAAGTGGATATTTGAAAGTCTCCTAGCGAACATTCAGATGACATTGAGTCCAATTTTTTTTGTTGCTATTGGTGTCTTGAAGTCAAAACACAAAGGTGAGGCTCTTAGTGCCACTGTGATACAGTGTTTTGCATTGTTTTATTTCTCAATTACAATGCATCAAACCAGAGACTGAATTGAATTGGTGAGGAAGAGGAATTCCTGCTGTATCCACTGCCATCACCTGCGGTGCCTGCATTTAGTGGGAAAATGGCCTTAGATGTAGAACAGTGATGGGCAAACTGGGCCCTTCCAGGCCACTTTCCTGCAGAGATTTGATCCAACCCTGATACGACTCACCTGCCTGTAGCCTTCTAGTAGTCTTGAAGACAATGATTAGCTGGTTCAGGTGTGTTTGATTAGGGTTGGAGCTAAACTCTGAAGGAAAGTGGCCTGGAAGGGCCAAGTTTGCCCACCCCTGATGTAGAATATGAAATTAACCATTTTATCTTCCCTTCTCATTAAGACTGCAAGATATGATTTTAGACAGCAAAGTTAGTTTTAAAATCAGTTCTTCCCAATTTTAAAGTTAAGCTTTTTATTATGCCATCAGATATATGTGATAATGATTCGTTATATGTGACTCTGGAGCACAAAAGCAGTCTTAAGTCGCTGGGGTATATTTGTAGCAATAGCCAAAAATACATTGTATGGGTCAAAATTATAGATTTTTCTTTCATGCCAAAAATCATTAGGACATTAAGTAAAGATCATGTTCCATGAAGATATTTTTTTAATTTCCTACTGTAGATATATTAAAACTTAATTTTTTATTAGTAATATGCATTGCTAAGAACTTCATTTGGACAACTTTAAAGATGATTTTCTCAGTATTTTGATTTTTTTGCACCCTCAGATTCCAGATTTTCAAATAGTTGTATCTCAGCCAAATATTGTCCTATCCTAACAAACCATACATCAATGGACAGCTTATTTATCCAGCTTTCAGATGATGTCGAACAATTGACCCTTATGACTGGTTTTGTGGTCCAGGGTCACATATTATCTGTTAAGAGTGACTTTTTCATTCGTGACACTTCATTCAGAAACACCTTGAGAATTAGAACTTCCAAAAATATATTTTGTATATTGTACATACTTAAACATACTTAAATAAATTGAATTATGATCTTCCGATAATAATATGTGACTTTTGTTGGTATGGTATTTACTTTTGTTAATTCCTAAATTATGGATAAAAATTTGAAAAATATAAATGTCAGTTGTTTTATCAGGAATCCAAAAGTTTATAAGCGCTGTCATTGAGTTTTTTTTCTTCTTTAGTCGTAATCTTCTGTCCTCAATTGAATTTCCTGTTGAGTTTTTTTCTGCATAAAGAAATTTAACAATGTTATGTTGAAATGAATGTAATTCTGCAATAGCTTTTTTTTTCTTCTTTTTCATTTTAGCAGCAATGAAAACGCTATTTTCCTTAGTACTTACTACAGATGACATCAAAATGGCCATTATTTCCAAGCAGTATGTTTATTCTTGCATTAATTATAATCGATTTGTTTCTATGTGTTGTATCTCCAATGCCCAAAAAAGTCTTAACACTTCTACTTAAAATTGTTTAATTCTAAATATAGTGCACACTTTGTGTCTTTTGTGTGCAATACAGTAAGTAGGCTATGTGATTCTAATATATCAGACTGGACATACAGAGGTTATACATTTATTGCAAAATCAAAAAGAAAAAAAAATAGAAATAATATTTTACATGAAGAAAATTAAGCCTATTTTAGGACCATAAGATTTTATTGTCATTATGTTTTGAAAACAATGGGCTTAATTATCTTATTCATACAATATATATACATATATATATATATATATATATAAATAAAAAAAAAATGTTCTTTTGATTTTGTGGTGAAATATGACCCAGACATATTCTTAAAAGGTTTCGTGAGAATCACTCCGCGAGGAAAGTACTCGTGTTTAGATTACTTTTTGTCAGAGACATAATACTAGACAAAACGTGTAAATAAGGCAGTGAACCCAGACGTTTGTTTGGGTTTATTTCCTGAAGATAAAGGAATATTGACCAAAGTTCTTCTCAAGGAAGATCTGTTCTTTGCAAATGGCAGCGCTTTAGACACCCTTTGCACATTTTAAGAGTGTTGGAAACTGTTTGAAATCAGGGAAAACATTCAAGAAAAGTGTCTTTGGGGAGACAAACGGAATCATGAATCGAAAGACTGATAAAAAGCATTTGAAGATTGTATTATTCTATTTATTTTATGTGAGCATGTGAGAATGTGGCCCAGCGTTGGATCTGAATACGGTGTTATAAACGCAAGTCCTAGTGATAGGAGGCAGTAGGCAGGCGAGTGGCGAGTTTTAGCCATGTGCACTGAACTCTACCTCTGCATAGAGCCTTTGTTTCTTATTTAATACCTCTCTCTTGCTCTGTCTTTCTCTGTAATCTTTCTCATTTGCATTGCAATTTCTAGGAAATTACAAATTCAAATCTTTCATAACATTTATACTATAAGTGGTTACCTGTGAAAAAATAAAGAAAACTGCTGTAGTTGTGACTTTTTAATTTTATGTTTGGTGACTGGTTGTATGCCTGTTATTATGAAAAATACATTGTTGTTGTCATTTGTTTCTGTTCCAAAGGTCAAACCGTTCTTCAGTATCTGTTTTCAATCTGTGCCAAAGGCTGAATCCTATCTCCTATGTATGATCTTATTTGATTCTACTTTCAGTTTAACTAAGTGAACCCAGTCGCCTGTGGCCATGCGCCTAGATGCTACAGTGGTTGCATGCAGTTTTTTTTTTTTTTTGTTCTCGAACAACGATTTTAGCTGATGCTCCCAGTTCACAAGCAATGTTTAGAAACCGCCACAAGAATAAACTTTTAAAAGTTGCAATAAAAAGTGATTTGATGTGTTCCCATCACATGATATAAGATGTATAGAGAGTACTGGAGCATATATATATATATATTTTCCCCAGGGTAGGTTATCTTTTAAAAGTTGACACTTTGTAAATCACCTAAGATTAATGTAAAAACAGAAAACCTCTATTGAAGCTTATCAGAGACTAAAAAGTACAAAATATGAAATTGAATAGATCCCATCTATTTTTATTGTTATTTCTATTTCCTTAGGGGTAAGCTTGACCCACATATTTTAATTTTCAAAATTAGCTGCACAAACACACAGAAATAAATACATTTTAAAAAAATTAAAATAAATAAATTGACTACTTGTGGTGACTATTTGCACTTATTTGCAATAATATCTCATATCATTTATACTTAGTATAGTATTTATTGCTATTTGTACATCATGTCCCTCCTTTTCTCAAACCCGTGTGTGGGTAAAATGGATTTATCGCACTTCTTTTCAGCACTGCCACAGACTAGTAAGTGAGATTTAAAAAAAAGCAACAACAACCTTTGACAGCTGTTATAGAAACAGTCAGCTTTCCTAGGGTGATTCAGAAAATGAGCCTCCATTTTAAGTAAACTTTTAGTTTTCAATTTCAGAAGTTCTTTTCATATTTTAGGGTTTGACAAGTTACGGTAAAGGTTTTCTGCTTTTTACCTGACTTGCGTTTTTCAAAGTGATGTTTTTTGGAAAATTGCATGGAAAACAGTGGGGAGTGATGTAGATTAGAGGTCATAATTCACCATAATTGTCAGTCCAATTTCAACTAGAAAACACTGATAAAGAAAAAAAAAAAAAACACATTTGCGCACTTTGGACCTTTGTGACAACTAACGTCAGTCTCACAAGTATTGTTAGAAGAAGCACCATTCAAGTCTCTTTTATGAATAGTATTCCATAAATACTGTGTACAGTATAAAATCAAATGTACTGTTCATTGCTTGTAGATATGGAATGTTGGAGCTAGAAAGTTTTGATGCATTTTCTTTAAAAACCCATCAAATACAGCCATAAACTGCATTGCACATCATTTTATATTTACATTACATTACATTTATACATTTAGCAGATGCTTTTATCCAAAGCGACTTACAAATGAGGAACTGCATTGCACATCATTTTATATTTACATTACATTACATTTATACGTTTAGCAGATGCTTTTATCCAAAGCGACTTACAAATGAGGACAATGGAAGCAATCAAAATAAACAAAAGGGCAATGACATGCAAGTGCTATAAGTCTCAGTTAGCTTAATGCAGTACACGTAGCAAGGTTTTTTTTTTTTTATCATATAATAAATAAAAAGTAAACAGAATAGAAAAAGAATAGAGCAAGCTAGTGTTAGAGGCCTTTTTTTGCTTTTGTTAATCAGAAGTCAGAAAGTCAGAATTATAATTATATAATAAATAAAAAGAAAACAAATAGAAAGAATACAAAAAGATTAGAGAAGCAATGTTAGTAAATAAAGAGTGCAAGTCTAAAAGGGGCAAGTTTTTTTATAGATATATATATATATATAAAGAATAGAATTAGAATAGAGAGTGCTAGTGATAAAGTGATTTTGTGCCTCTTTGGGATGGCACAATAAAGCGCCGTTCACTTGCAGAGGGCACATAAGTCTGAATTTAGGAATTTAGGAAAAAAGGGGTGCAGAGCCAGTGGTGGTTTTGTAGGCAAACATTAATGCCTTGAATTTTATGCGAGCAGCTATTGGTAGCCAGTGCAAACTGATAAACAGAGGTGTGATGTGAATTATTTTCAGCTCGTTAAAAATTTATATTGCTGCCGCATTCTGGATTAATTGTAAAGGTTTGATAGAAGTGGCTGGAAGACCTGCCAAGAGAGCATTGCATGACCGGGCAGTTTTAGAAATGTAGTCTGAGAAAGTCAGCTGATCATCAATCATAACTCCGAGGTTTTTGAAGGAGTTATGGTTGATGTGCCTAACTGGATGGTGAAATTGTGATGAAACGATGGGTTTGATGGAACCACAAGCAGTTCTGTCTCGGCAAGGTTGAGTTGAAGGTGATGGTCCTTCATCCAGCAAGAAATGTCTGCTAGACATGCTGAGATGTGAGCAGCTATCTTCAGATCATCAGGATGGAATGAGAGGTAGAGTTGAGTGTCATCAGCATAGCAGTGATATGAAAAGCCATGCTTCTGAATTACAGAACCTAGTGATGGACAGAGAAGAGAAGTGGTCCAAGAACTGA